CTTAGCTATCTGGGGGGAAAAAAGGAAAAAATACGAGCTGGCTCGCCTTAACGGAGGGCGAGATGGTCACTGACCGGCCCTCTGTGCTGGAGTCATACTTCTTCCGGATCCGGCCAGGATCCGCATAGAGGATGTCCACAAGGGCACCCACACGCTTCGGCCAGTGCCTGAGCTGTCTCAAGAGGGGCCAACGAGAAGAGGCTGCCAAGAGGTCCATAAAAAAATGGTAGAATAATAAGGGGGCCCGTTTTTCTGTAGTCTATTTTAGTAGGGGAACCCTCCCAACCGAGACCTAGTCAAGTAAATCAACCACAAGCCATGGGAATTTGTGGGGTGTCCCTTGTTCCCCTGCTTGCAAACATACAGGGCATCCAGCGCAAGCTGACAAAACCTGGGAGTCCCAAAGTCAAAGGGCTTTCTGGACCATAAGGTTTTTTTTCCTTAGCTTCCATTGGCTGAAGCCCGTTAAGAAACCATACAATTCTGTCCAGTAGTGATACTGTCCGTTTAAAACCAACAAGGGAAAATAAGAGACATATTCTTAAGCAACTGGAAGTTAGAAATGCTAATTGCCAGCCACCTCAAAATGGCATGTTTATATTTTGCCAACATTCGGGGACCTTCGCCATGGGCCATGGCCACATGGCTCACTTTACCGGACCCGGTGTGCTCCTATTTCTTCAGATCCATAGCCCCCTGGCCACGCCTCCAGGTGCTTCGGATTCCTCTGAAAAACGGACCGCCCGATCAACAACCAGCGAACCCCCTTCAAGCGCATCACAAAAACAAGTGGCACCTCCAAAGGCCTGGATCGAGATCCTTGGGGGGTGGTTGACGTGGGCATAGGTGTCCTTTTCGGGGAAATAGGTGGACTTCCCTGGTAGATGAAATTCAACCACCAGGGAAACCAGTGCCATCTATTTGTCCAGCAAAACTCAGCAAAACTCAGCAAAACAATCAAAAAGGACACCTATGGTCTTGTTTCTCTCCCGACCTAACCCTTTGCGCCCCCGCTTCAAAAGGGTAACCCGAGGAGTTGTCCGCTGGTTTTTTGCAGCCCAGAAGCTCTGCGGCCATGCGTTGGAGGCAGTAGAGGCGTCGATTATCCAGCGTGAACCACTGAGCCTCCTGCCGAGCGGACCCCTCGGGTCGGACCCGAACCGATTCTTCGATTCGGTCGACACCCGGCTTGCTTCCCTTCTTCTTTTCGCTGCCCCTCCCACCTGGATGACGATTTTAGAAGTTGAAGCTGGACAAAAAGTGGTTGCCAGAACTGGAACAGCAAAAGGTCATGTCAGGTCGATTTGCTACCCCTGATAAGGCCATGCCAGGGTTATCCCGGTTCATCCAAAAGCAACCCAAACTCCCACAGGCTCTCATGTTCACCTCGGGCACTTTCAATGGCGCCGGGGCGTTGGGCGTTGGGGCAGTCCTTTTCGGGCTAGGCCATTAAAACTCGGTGCCTCTTCGAACGGAAGAGACCTCTTCAGCTTCGAACGGAGGGGACCTCTTCAGCCGTGCCAAATGCTTCACCAAAATCGCGATCTCGCTTCCTGAGTGGATTGACCCTTTCAAAGCTTGGACGTTCTGCTTATCACGGGAACTCCGGGAGTGAGGCAGTCTTGAAGGGGATATCTCAGACACCTGTGGTTGGGCCAACCGCCGCCTTGCTTCGCCGGAAAATCTGGGAGCCTGGAACATCTCAGTGAACCTAAGGACTTGCGGCGCGAAGGGCACTCGAAGCACGTGAGCAACTTGATTCAAGCTCAGAGACGAATCACAGCACCAACCGGAGAGGTACACCAGCCGGAGGAGCACACCAACCGGAGAGGTACAGCAACCGCAGGAGCAGCATACCAAAGGTACACCTTTTGCAAAGAGCAGAAGATTCGAGGGCTCCGCGAGAACGACATGCCGTCCCCGTCTTTCCAGGCAGAATGCTCAGCCGGGGGTGCAATGAGGCCGAGGCGGGGGGGGTCGGAGGCCTGACATTCACATGGCCTGTCAAATCGGATTCTTTGGGGAGGTCGCAGAGCAAGCGGGAGGGGAATGCTCGAAAGTCGCCCCATCTTGCATACGGCGATGCTCGATGAGATGCCTCACTGCCTCTCACACACATGCGAAAACAACAGACACAACAGACACACACGCACACAAGCCATCGCTCGAAGTTAGGAACACGAGTGCGTGCTCCCAGCCTTGCTGTCATCGGAGTGTAGCGGATGCCATCGTAGGATCTCGATATTCGGAAAGGGCGCCTTGAGAATGATGTCGAAGTGCTCACCATCTCAGGCAGCAAAAGCTTACCGACATCAACAAGAGATGCAATGATTTTGCTGATGTTCAACAAGAGATGCATATCTCAACCCAGATTATCTTACTGACATCACCATTCTATGTCTGGGTGAGATGCAATGATTCAACAATCTCAATCAAAGACCCTACGAGAAGTGAACCAACATCCTGGAGGTTGCAAACACCCGTTATTAGATTACATGGGTATGCGTAAACCAAAAAGCCCTTGGACATGTGGAGCCCTGCCGCTTCCCAGAAAGGGCGCCATCCCGAGCCTAACATCCGATAAAACGCCCGCCTGCCGGTTCCACCTTGATCTCTGGGACGGTGTCCTCCACAACCCGCCCGTCTTGAAAATGGGTCTTGATGTGCTCCTGGCACGGAGCTGTCACTGCCCTGTAGCCATGATTGGTCTATTTCAATCTTCCCCCGAGCGAGGCTCTTTGGGTGTTCGCGGCTCGCGGGGGGCCTGTGGCCAGGCCACCACCAAAGTGGGCCGTTGGATGTTCCCCTGTGATTTGGCACATGACCACCACCTAAAAACATGACGCCCACCCGGGTTTGCCCTTTTTTTTCCATGGGTTCACTTCGTCTGGCCTTGCAAGAAGTCCCAATCCTCAAACCATGCTGAAGCTTCGAAGCGAGGCTTCGGGAATAAACCCGCAACAATGCAGAGGCGGGGGCAAAGAAAGATTCTTCGGGCCTGGACCAAATACATCGGTTCTTTTGACCATGGACTGAACACAGCACCACCCGCATCACTCATGCTGGAACTGGGGATCGATGGGAACCTCCTTTGGGACATCTTCTTGTGGCGCGATCCAAACTTGCTCTTACGTGCTGTCCGCCAGTTGTGGAAAAAATGCCGCCGGTGCGTTCCCACGAGATGTCTCGATATAAAGGCGATGCGGCGATGCGCGCTTCTTCTATTTATCCATTGTCTTCTTCTTCTGGGGTCCAGGTTTGGAGAGTAAGTAAATTCCTCGCGCCAAAAAGCGAGGAGTGACAGGTCCCTTTTCACAGCAACCAACCTTGAGCAGAGCGCGGCCCCTCTTCAGAACTGCCCTCTCCCGGAAAACGGAGAGGTACAAAACGGGATTGGGCCAACCCTCAACAGCTCTAAACAGCTGTTGTTTCTGATTTACTTGCTGGTGCTCAGGGAATGAGAATTGGAATGACCCTTATGAACCCTCCAACTGGTGGTTTCCTTTCAGGGAACCCCTGGGTCCTCTCCCATATTCCCCACCTATCGCACCGGCAAGATTGCGCCTCCGCTTGGTCCCCTTGTTGTTTTGTCCTTTCTGTTGTTTTTGTTTTGATTTTTTTAAAGACTGAACCTGGCTGCTTCCAGCACGTCGCCCGGCGCTTGAAGCCTGGACGGCCTCAAAAAACGTCCGCCGCGCCGGCCTGCGTGAAGTGCAGCGCGAAGGGGGAAATCAGCTTCTCCTCATAGATGGGCATCGCCACCCAGCACCAAGCGCGCGCGCCTCAAAGGATCGATGGCAGGATGCCACAGGTGTCCTCATTTTTTTCGGAAAACAGTAGAAAAAAATGAACCACCGGGTAAACCAGGGATCGCCCGCTATTTTTTAAGCAAGCCAACCAAAAAGGACGCCTTTGTGAACAACAAGTGCCTATTCGGAGCCCCTGCTCATCTTTCAACTTTCCACCGGCCGAGCGGCACACAAGCCACGATCACACCCTCCGGGTGTTCAGAAGCCAAAAGAAGAATGCAAGCGCTCACCCCGCCCTGCACTTGAGCCCAGAATGGCTGCAGGAAGGACACTCCAAGGAAACATCATGGAAACATCCCGGTCCAGTGACTGGGTGAAGAAAAAGAAAAGCCTGTTTGGTATTGACGCCGTTTCGCGGGGCACCCAACAAAAGATTGCAGAAGGAGTGCCACAAGGGGAGTTGCTGCGTTCGGCTTGGTTCGAATGGTGTCACGGTCCCTGAAAACTCCCCCCTCTTGGATCTCCACCAGCGGCAACTGGTTTGTTGCAAACCAAGGATTGCAACAGTCAAGCGAACATGAGACCATTCGGATCCTTGCACCAGATCAATCCACGTTTGCTTCGACCCGTTCAAACCCTCGATATTGCAGGGGCACTGGGTCCCTTACAGTGAACGCTTGAAGGATTCTCAAAAACACTTTGGAGGGGTGGGTTTCCCTTTGCAATGGCCGCAATCTCTGCAAATTTCTGCAATCACTCAAAAACAAAACAAAAAAAACACGGGCATGCCCCAAGTCCCAAAACAAAAAGAAACGACCTCCCCCCCTCCCCCACTCCAAATCCCAAATCCCCACCCACCCCCACCCCCTCCCCCGGGGTTTCCACCCTCGCGCCCCCCCCCCAAAAAAAAAATCCGCGCGCCGGCCGCGACTCTCTCTCTCTCTCTCTCTCTCCTCTCTCCTCTCTCCGCTCTCCGCTCTCCGCTCTCCGCTCTCCGCTCTCCGCTCTCCGCGCGCAGACGCGGTAGCCGCGCGCAGACCCCCGCGCGCGAGAGACGCGTCGGCATGCGGCGCGCCTGGAGAGCTGCCCGTAGAAGCTGAACTCGGGGTCCAGGGCCAGGCTCTCGAGGCCCAGGCCCAGCACCCCGTCGAACCTTGGGCGGGTGCGGAAGCGGCGGGGGGGGGGGGGTTGGGCGGGAGGGGGAGTGGGGGGAGGGTGGGGGGAGGGGGGGAGGGTGGGGGGGAGGGTGGGGGGGAGGGTGGGGGGGAGGGTGGGGAAGGGGAAGGGGAAGGGGAGGAAGGGGTGGAGGGTGGAGAGGTGGATGCATCTCTAAACCCCAAAATGGTGGGAATCCTTTTGGTGTTCTTATTAGACCACAGAAAAAGGCACTCAAAAAAGTGTGTCAGGGAGACTTCTGGAAGCAAGATGCAGACAGCCGGACCTTCGCGTTGATTTCGGACCTACAGAACTCCAAGGTGCCCAAAGTCCCAAAGTCACAAAGTGGCACTTCCGGTCCAGTCCCAGAAGGTACACCCAAATGTTGCCGAGACCTCGTAGCGAAGGCGGCAGAAGGAATCTGTGGTCTTTTGGGGCGCCAAATGCAAGAATACGTCCCGATTCACGTGGAGGGGGGGTCACAAAGGCAATCCACGGGCCCAAAACATCAAAGATCGAAAAGGGGTGCGCCTTTTTTGCGGGCATCCATTTGTTCGTAGCTTTAAAGACAAACCAAGTTTAGAGGAAAGTGATGACGGCTTGGTTTTTTTTTTGGGGGGGGGAGATCCCCCCAAAAGGACCACACGCCCCAAAAGGACCAGCTCGGGTGGGGGGCTCATACGATCGCGGGACCTCGGGGCCCCTGGCTCAAACTGCTGGAAGGGCTCATCCGTCATCTCCGTGGCTTGCACCACTCGCACCTCCACGAGGCGAAACGAAACCCGCCCAGCTCCGAGCCATGCTGAGGTTCAAACCTTTGAATCAAAGGTGCTGATTGAAGTGCCCGCCATTCAAAATTATAAGGAGCTGCAAATTGTCCAAAGGAATTGCATGCAAAGCAATTCATAACTCCTAACAGGGGTCACTCCATTTCTCTTTCTTGGAACCTGAAGTCGGGCACCGGGACGCTTCAAGCCGTCCTGTAACCGAAAAAATCGTCCAGTGAAGCGTAAATCCGGAACAAACAAAAAAACTCCGAACCTCCCGCAAACCTTCAGCCCACCCACCCACCGCTCGCCCCCGTTTTTTCGCTCGGCTCCAAAGCGCCGGGCGCCGGGCGCCTGGAGGCAGTCCGAATGCTTCAAGGCCTCCTCCTCTGTTTCCCCCGCGTGGCTGGTCAAGCACACGGCCTGGCCATCCAGCGGAACACGCAAGCTTCAAGTGAGGAGTTCGAACCTAGATGGCCAAGTTGCCATCGCTTCTTTCAGTCACTGTTGCTGGTGTTTGGGGTAAAGTGCATGGGGAAAAACAGCAACTGGCGATCTTTTTTTTGACTTTTTCGCGTTGGTTCGAAGGCAAAACACAAGACCTGCACTTTTTGGGGGCTCTGAAACCACAAGAACTGCACTTTTTGGGGGTCCCATGTTGAAACGGGACGGGTTCTCAAGGGTCCAAGTCTGGTCACGCTGACGGTCTGACGGTTCGTGCAGCCGAATGGCTCACTGGAGTCATGAAGAAGATGCACCTCATAGGATGGACTAACACCCCCCCATGAATCCATCGGGTTCTACTAAAATCCGGTCCAGGAGAGCCCTTCACTAGGCTTGGTGATTGGGTGATCAATGGAACGAAGTGTAACAAAAGGGGGGTCCTTTTGGATGCTACCCTTCTTTTATCCACTAACATGGAATCCACCAGAACAATCCCTTGCAAACGAAAATCGCCTTTCAGGACTCAGCCAACTTCCGTGTTCGCACCCAGCAAGTGTCTCACCCTCTGGGCTTGGAGGCTCGGAACCTTTTCACCTCAGCGGCGATCGATGCGATACAGTACGTCAAGTAAGTGGTGAGAAGCCTGGTACGCACTGAACGGACAAATATAACCATGGCTTTTGTGGGTTCCTTCACCATGGTTGCTAACCAGTGACTAGGTACCCAAGCACTTTAGGAAAGGATTGGGACCCCCGGAACACGGTCGCAATATGTTTGACCCTTCCAAAAGGTTAAAAAAATATCAGAACGGGAGGTGTTCCAAACTCTGGCCATGACAACCGCGATCTGTCTGGGCCGTCCAGAACCCCCGGCTAAAAGTTGCCACTAAAATTTGCTGGGATGCGCTAAGATCTTCCATGTCGGTTTGAATGGCCATCACTCTGCAGCGCGAGCTTGGTTCTTTGTACCAGGATGACTCAAGGGCCCTTGGTCCATACATCCATGCATGTCAGGCTCTACAAGACAACATCCAGGCAAGGAGCCACGTGTACAACCACACACTCACACTCAACCTGGTACTTAAAATCTTACCACATCCTGTGATAGTTGATTCTACACATGCATTCAAAAGTCACGTGTCTAAGGCTATGTATGTTATGTCTGTCGCCTTCAGGATCCAACTCCATTGCCAGTCCTAAAGACCCTCAGCAAGTCGGACTTCATGGCCTTAGCCAGGGAATCTGCCATCATTGTTCCCGTGACAAATCATCTGAGCTGCTCATCTGATCACCACCGCCGGGACATACGATCGTTGTCTTGGCTCCCTCACACAGCTTCTGCCTGATCGATGCCACCTCGATGCTTGGACGCCTGTCTGCAATCTTCGGTGGAACAGCAGCCTTTCAAGTGCGATACTAGGCTGCTGCAATCGACTCCTTGTTCAGGCTAAAGCGTAGTCCCTACCGACATGTCCGGAGTCAGTAACCTGCTCCGCTACCAGTTTGAATGGCAATCACTATGCAGTGCGAGCTTGGTTCTTTTCACCAGGATGACTCAAGGGTCCTTGATCCGCAAGGCCCACATACATCCATGCATGTCAGGCTCTACATGCCTAAAGATAACAGGCAAGGAGCCACGTGTACTACCACACATTCACAGACCGCTTCCCCCCTCTGCGACTCGAAGCTCCCAACACCTCCCGGGAGAACTCGCCCACCACCTCGCCCGTGCCATAGGCAATGGCCACCTATCGGCCACATCGACGCATGCTTTTCCCCAAGCATGTGTTTGGGTGTTGTTTGCGAAGACCAAGAAGGGGCTCCGAAGATGGGTCTGTCTTTTTTAGGCCGAAAAAAGGCTTGGTTCCAAAAACCAAAAAAGGAAACCCATGATAGGCAGGGAATGAGACATGGAATGACAAGAAACTGAACCATGCGCCTTGCGGCTTCCTTTCATGGGGGTTCATTCCCTCATTCCTTGCAGAGCAGCAAGGAAATGGCTTGCTTTTTCAGGAAGCGGCCGTCGGCGTCGAGTCTGAAAATCCATGGAATTGGCTCAGGATGGCTTCAACTTTGTGCAACCCGACACTTCCGGCGAGGGTGCGAGACCAATGGCTCCCCACGTGCCTTCGATTCGACTTAGCCAGAGTTTCCCAGAGAAGGAGCCTTCACAGCCCCAAGGATACCCTCAAAGCGAGACAAGCCCCAAAGAATTCACCTCCTCCACGAAAAAAAGGGCTTCTCGTTTTAAGATGCTGCACACCGTTAGCATGCTCAAGAACCAAAATGGCTTCCTTCAGAAACCTGGTTTGGCTACCCTCAAGAGACAATTCCCACCAAATGAGTCACAATCAAAACCCGGTATTGAAATGGTCGGTATTAAAATAGTCGTAATCCCAGAACCATGCTTCAAGAATTCAGATGCCGGAATTCCGCAGCTATTTCTGGCCAGGGGATTGTCCCTTGCTAACCTTCATCTACCCGAATCGGTTTTGAGCAAGTGGCTCAAATGGGACTCTCCTCACCCGTGCCTCGGAGCGTGAGCGAAGAGATACATACTACTGTGGATGGTTGCGAAATCCGAGACCGCACCACAAAACGACACCATCGGCATGAAAACCACCCAGTTTCTTGGTGTTTACGTTGGGGGAATCGAAGATCAGACACGGAGCTCGGTGCCGCGATTCCTGCATGGATTTCGCGTCGCCATCTGTGATTTGTGCAATCATTCCGAAAGGCTAACTTAAGGGACCCACCAAGTATGACAAAATCCGTTCCCACCACTTTGAAACCACATGTTTCGTTGGCATTTACAGGGGGGGTCGACTCCTTGCGGGTTTCTTAAGCGGTGCGAAATGGATCTCGTCCCTCCACGGGGTGTCCCTTGGATTGGGGAATCATCACCCGGCGTATCACCGAAAACTCACCGTATCACCCACCTCACCGAACACTTGGGTGTGGGTCAAAATTGAACCACCAGGAATACCGCAGGTCTTGGTCCATGCTTCCACTTACTACTTAAAGGGGCAGGGTACTTAGTAAGTGGGTTGGGAACCATGGTTACAACCCACTTACCATGGTTATAAGTCTCCTAAGTTGGTTATAACCATGATTACTAATCACTTACTAGGTACCCGATCGCCCGTTTAAGTAGGGCTCCATTTGGGGTACTTATTTTTGACCCACCGCCACTTCCCCGCGCCCGTCTCACCCGGACCGATCGGGATGGGGCGCCGTGTGGCTGGGTCCCGCCTGGTCCCGCTCGGAGTCCGCGGGCACCGTCTGGCCGTCGTGGTCCAGGTCCACTGCGGAGAGGGAGAGCTGCCGGTCCTGGGCCAACGGCCCCAAGGACGGCTCCGTCCATGGCTTGACGCTAGAAATGGAGCAAAAAAAGAAAAAACCTTTGGTGGGGAGGCATGTTCTTTTTACGGTTTGGCAGTTCAGTGGTTGGATTTCAAGCACTAAACCACAATAAGCAAACATGTAAAAATGCTTCCCAACAAGAACCATGATAAGTCAGCTTCCCTCGAAAAGGCTCACAACAATCCAGGCGGCCACTCGTCAGCTTCCATGGAGATCTGGGGGGGGGTGAAATGGAGGGGTGCACCACGATCGAGAATCCGACAGCTATGCTAAACGGAGGGGTGTCCCATTTACCCTCAACCACCAATCCCAAACCACCAACTAAGGGTTACCTGACCCGGGGTTTCCATGGGTGAAAGAAACGGGAACGCATGGTTTTGCCTGAATTTAAAGGGAAACCTCTACCAAAGGGACAAAGTAAGAAACCCACCGGAATTCTTCGATGTTTTTCTGTAAGTACCAACCAACGAGCCATGGTTCCATTCCCATGGCAACTCATCTCGTGGTGCGAAGTCTCGGATTTCGCAACCCTCCACAGTACTGTGGATGGACAAAATCCGTTCCCACCACTTTGAAACCATGGCCGGAGCCCCGTTTTCGTCGGCATTTACAGGGGAATCGGCTCCTTCCGTTGGGTTTCTTGCGTGGTGCGAGAAGCAGATTTGGCAACCCTCCGCAGTGTGACCCCATCCAAAAGGAAAACTCACTCACGGCGGCCCAAGCTGGGCTCCCCCCGCGTAGGCGCTGTGGTTCGCGCATGCGGGCATCTGGCGGTTACGGAGGGGTTGGAAGCATAGGGCGGGGGCCGTTTTCGGCGCCTCGTTCTTGAAAGGCGATACCAGAATCCGAAAATGGGACCATACATCTGACGAGCACTTACATATACATATGTATATATATATATATAAATATAGGTACATGTGCAATATATGTAGCATAACATAACCTAACATCACATTACATAACATCATACTATGTATGAAACCACATTACATGACATAATACTGTGGGCAAATGTTCATGGCGAGTTGGCCAGCTGCACTCTTGTGGACCAGCTGCACTAACTACTGGCCATTCAGAAGCTCCGTGCCCATATGGTGAGATGGGCCCATCGGCGGGGGATCAAACCCCCGGAAGAGGGCGCTGGGGCAAGCCGCGGGGTTTCGTCTTTGGTCCCATTTAGCTCTTGGTGTCACGGCGGTATATGTAGTTCAGCCATGAGAAAGTCCTCTGAGCCCAATTTGTGGGGGTTGAAACTCGTGCTTCCAAGGATTGGCTCCGAGACGAACTGGAGGAAGCCACACATTTTAAGACACTAGAAGGCCCACAGCTGGAGAGGGTGATGCATCGTTCAGAAGACGGTTCGACCGCCTCCCTAGGCTCAAGTGCAAAACCTCCAAAGACTTGGCATGCTGAAAGAGAACGCGGGCGCGGTTGGTGCGATGTTCATCATGGGGGCTGGGGGGGAGGGAGGGGGGTGGGGGGGGGGAGGGCCCCAATAAGCCCCAATAAAGCCTTGCTAGGGGCTTAATAAGGGATTATTTGGGCTTCCTTCCCCTCCCCTCCCTTGAATCGAAGCGCTTCGGTCCCAGTGCCGGTCTCCACTCAAAAGACGAACATGCTGCGGAAAGAGAATGCGATTCATTCCGGGTGAGCAGGACGACAGCGACAGGTACCAGTGGGATCCTGCAAGGCGATCTGATATTTGGCCATGGGTGAAAAGCCCGTACCCCCCAGTGAACATCCCAATCCCAACTAAAATAGGTTCTAAAATGGGTGCTGCACCTACCCCAAAATGGTACCATTGGTTTTGACCCACTGCCATGTTTGCAAACTGGCACACAGGTGCTGTGTTCCTTTCACAGGAGAAAACCGGCCTCGTTAAGTTCTATGTCAGAGGAAGATTGTCTTCCAGGGAATCGCCCTGCTCCATGCGGAGGGCATCCAACCAACCCACCTTCCAATCCCCCAACCTCAGCTTCCATTGGCTTGAGCCGCCCGGAAAGAATACAAATATGTCCAGTAGTAATAGACTTCCCTTTAAAACCAACCACGGTTTAAATCTAAAAATACTCATTTCAGCAGATGGAAGTCAGGATGTCCCCTTCGCCTCCTTCGCCTTCCGACCAAAGCCCGTCCGGCCTCGCACTTCTTTGAAGGCACGATGAAATGCCCGGAGCCGGTGTCAAAAACTACCTGCAGCCGACCCAACTCCTGACTCCCGTTCTTCCTGCCCCAAATCATCTTCATCTACCCGAACGACATTTTTGGCCCCACACCCATGGGCAGGAACCCCAATGAACCCGCGCTGGTGACGTTGACCTTCCAGACTGGTTTCAGATGCAAACGTCACTGTGGGGTAAGGTGTTCCGAAAGCATGAGGCTGGATCCCAATGACCCCCGAAAAGGGAACACGAACAAAGACCTCTTAAATGACAAGTGTTTCATTCCTAGAATTAAGCACCTCCCCCGCCCCCTCCCCCCCCCTCCCCCCCCCAATGTAAAGCTGCCCACCCCAATGCGGGCGCCAGAACGACACGTGTCCGTTCTCAGAAGGTCAGCTCACCCCAAAACCACCACCCGGAAAAACATGGGCTATGAGCGTAGCAACTATGTAACCATACGCGACGACTATAGGCAAGAGTATATTGCTAGCTATATAAGACAACCACTGTGCAACCACTACAAACAAGCAATTTTTCAAGCCAGGATCATTTTCTTTGCCAATGACCGTGGATGTTGGTGTCCCCACTTCATGCACCACAAAAGCGCCCCGGGCTTTTGTGGTTACTTGTGATCAGTTCACCTGCCTGTTACACCCTTGATGCGTGTGACCCTAGGCGCCCTTCTCAAATTGAAACTGGAAAAAAGCAGCTGCAGACACTGATGGCTTCTGACCCTTGCTGCCCAGGGCGCGGTGAACTTCTGCGGGTGCGGCAGGCCCACGAAAATGCTGCCGAAGTAGGCGGTCTTGTACCTCGGCGAAATGCAAATGTGGCTCAAAATTAAGGCGCAAATGGGTGTGGCGCAGGTTTTGGCCGTTGGTTCCATTTATCTTTTGGTGCCACGTGTACAGCTTGTTTTTGAGCCACAGCCAAGAGCAAGCCTGGGAAATGGGAGCGGGCGGGCGCCAAAAGTGGCGTCTCTGATAAGCAGCAGCCTCCCAGTGAAGCGCGCAACCGGCGAGCAGACAAGTCATCTGAGCCGCAATCAAAACCCGGCACAAAAATGGACCCAGAACAATGTACAGGATTAAGAAGGCGGAATTCCGCTGCTACTTTTGGTTGGGATCGTCCCTTACGAACCTTCATCTACCCGGGTTTTGAGCAAGTGGCTCATCTGGCGGAACTTGCTTGACGCATGAGTCAAGGGCCTTGGGCTCCCCCCCATCCCCTGACCTCCCACCCACCTCAACCCTCCCCAAAAGCCTTCTCCAAGCCCAACCCCCCTCCAACCCAAACCCCCTTCCAACACAACCCCCCCCCCCCCGCCCTCCAAAAATTAAAAATAAAAACTCAGCCCTCAAGCTGCAGCTTGCCTCAACCACGAAGGGTTGTCCGGATTACAAGTGTCAGTGACATAAGAGACTTGCAACCCTCGACCGCCCAAAAAGTAAGAGCCCCACACAGCTATGTGGGGAACGATTTCGCGAATGACCGCTCCGTTTGGGTACCCAGAGTAGTGGTTGAATTTGGGGTCACCAGCGTTGAAACACAGACCATGCATTTGCTGAAGCTCTGGAAAAAAAATATGTCCAGTGGACATAGATCCCCTTTGGTAAATGGATGAGACCTGGCCCCAAAAGGACTCAAACCTGCGTGGCGCGGCCTGCATCCCGCCCAATCGGTTCTGCCACAGACGAATCGTCTAAAGCGTTCTGAAGCAGAAGCTGACCGCACACATCGCAACGCGGACGTGTCCTCAACCCAAATGGCGCTGGGGGAGTTTCTCGGGCGAGGGCTGGCAGCCCAATTTCCGTGCTTGAGCCCTCAGCGACGAGGTCTCACCCAGCGGTTCCAGCCCGCCTCGTCCAGCCGTGGGCACACAAAGGCCCACGCAGCGTTGAGCCTTGCCCTTATAGAGCTTGCTGGCCACGTCGAGATGCGCTGCGGATCTCGCGTGACAAGCCGCCTTCCTCCACAGCTGTTGCCACAGCGTCCATTTTCCCACGAATCAGTGGACAAGGAGCCCTTTTCAGAGGGATCATCTTCCGACCGTCTTGTCCTTCCATGATAGCATTGCCTTTAAACAGCTCAGATTGAGCAAAAGGCCACTTTTTGCCTAAACTCAAGTTGTTCGGCTGGTAGATATTTCTTAAACAGGGGTGGCCAGATGCATCAGCCGAGGGCCATGTATTGGAAAAAGCCTGAACGCGACACGAGTGATATGTGCTGCACATGGATAGATCCTCTGCCCCAAGTCCACAGGTCACCTGGATGGCTAGAACCTGGGTGAGTACCAAAATAGCTCCGCCCTACAATTACAAACGGGTGTGTGTGTGTGTTCGTGCGTTTTTAGGGGATCCATGTTAACAGGGATCCTTACATTACTCGTGAATGGTGTTGTTTCCCCTTATTTTGGTTGAAACGGCCACATGTTTCACATGGTTGCAAAATGGAGCCCTGGTGAAGTTGTGGTGCTCCTCTTGGCTTCCCTTTGAAGCTCTCCCAAAAAATCGGGCACCGAATTGAAAAAGACGGGCGGTCCAGACCGATGGCCAAAGCTTTCTTCGGACTTTTGAGATGAAGGGCCAATCAAGGGGCCCGACCATCAGAGGAGCAGCTTTCCTGGGGAAAATCAACAACCCGGTATCTTGGTTGACGTTGGAAGGGGAGAAGAAAAACAAGATTTTAGCAGTTAAGTGAAGATTTCTCACTAAACCACAATAAGCAAAATGTAAAATGTTTCCCAACAACAACCATAGTATGCACACTTGGCAATGTCAAGCCAAAAAAACGTGGCGTGTGCAAAACAACCATGCCAGACTGACGCCTCCGGTCA